TAAGAATTAAGAGAATTTGTTACCGGTGTGAAATTAGCCTCTTAAGATAGCCTCCAAAACTTCCGGAAACTGCCGAACGGCCAGTGGCGTCGGAAATATAGGAAAATGTATTCTAAAATCTGCTTGTACTGACAAATTCATATTTTCGGGACAAATTGTGACAAGCATTTGCTCTTTTTCACCCTAACACCAGATTCCAATAGGCCGTCAGAGGGTGTCAAAATATATAAAGTTGAAGATATAAAAAGAAACATATCTCAAAATCTGCTCGTGCTGACAGATTCATATTTCCAGGACAAATTACGACAAGCATTTTCTATATTTCCATCCTAACACCAAATCCCGATGGGCCGTCAGAGGGTGTCAAAATAGTGTCAACTAGCTGCTTAGGAAAGGAGGACCCGGTATTTAACCTTATTAATTTAATTGCCGATTCGCTCGGATTTTTATTGCAATTCAGCAATAAATTGATATAAATTGCGTTGCAAGCCGCAGCAAAGGCAGACTTAAACCAGTGCAAGTACCTCTCGTTGGAAAAGTCCCTCTGGAATTAAGTCTCCCCAGTACAAGTACCTCTCGTTGGGAACGCCCCTCTGGGTATCTTCAGCCTTATCGTTGTCCAGTGTAATTACCTCTCGTTGGGAACGCCCATCTGGATAAGGGTGACGATAAACTTATCTACAGTCCCCCAAGCAGCATTGACGTGTGGCTCTCTATAAGGACCCCAGTGTTCGAAGGGTCATGTATCTTATAGGATTAGCGTACATGTAAGGTTATATTTGGGAAAATATATATCTATATTTTTATATAACCTGAGCGAGTTTCTCTCCATCAACCCCCAAAGCTACAAACCTTCCATGTCACCCCCGTAAAGCGGGCAGTTGTGACAATAGGGATGAAGATATCAAAAAAATCATGTGTCAAAATCTGCTCGTGATGACAGATTCACATTTTCAGGATAACTTTGAACAAGCATTTGCTATTTTTCCACCCCAAAATCAGATCCCGATGGGTCGTCAGAGGGTGTGAAAATAGGGGTAAAGATATCAAAAAAATCATATCTCAAAATCTGCTCGTGCTGACAGATTCATGTTTTCAGGATAAATTTGGACAAGCATCACAAGCATTTGCTATTTGTTTACCCTAACATCAGATACCGATGGGCCGTCAGAGGGTGTCAAAATAGGGGTGGGGATATCAAAAAAATCATATCTCAAAATCTGCTCGTGCTGACAGATTCATATTTCCAGGACAAATTATGACAAGCATTTGCTATTTTTCCATCCTAACACCAAATCCCGATCGGCCGTCAGAGAGTATCAAAATAGAGGTGAAGATATCAAAAACATCATATCTCAAAATCTGCTCGTGCTGACAGATTCATATTTTCAGGGCAAGTTACGACAAGCGTTTGCTATTTTTCCATCCTAACACCAAATCCCGATGGGCCGTCAGAGCGTGTCAAAATAGGGGTGAAGATATCAAAAAAATCATATTTCAAAATCGGCTCGTACTGACAGATTCATATTTTCAGGACAAATTACGACAAGCATTTGCTATTTTTCCATCCTAACATCAGAGGGTGTCTCCATAAAGCATCCCAGATGCTTCATCAAGTTACCCATTACTAGACAACCTTAACTTTAGGAGCCTTGGGTGAGAAACTAACAAATGTCTGTCATAATTTATCCTGAAAATTTGAATCTGTCAGCACTAGAATGCCGGTTTTCCACCAAACAGACAAAACAAAAACAAAATCCAAACTCAAACTTTTCCCAAACATTTTCAAGACTAGCGAGTTTTGAGACAGTTGGAGTTTTGTTTCCCCGAAAAAATAAAAAGTAGTCCGCTTGATGGAAACAAGAGTTTTGTGTCTATTATGCCGGTTTTCCACCAAACCGACAAAACAAAAACAAAACTTAAACTCAGACAAAACTCTAAATTTTCCTAAACATTTTCAAGATTAGCGTGTTTTGTGACAGGTGGAGTTTTGTTTTTCGGGTTAATTTCGTGTTTTAAAACACAAACTCAACAGTCTGTTTGGTGGAAAACCGGCATTACAGTTTTGTTTTTGTTCACCCCTATTTTGACACCCTCCGACGGCCTATCGGGATCTGGTGTTGGGGCAAAAAATAGCAAATGCTTGTCATAATTTGTCCTGAAAATATGAATCTGTCAGCACGAGCAGATTTAGAGATATGATTTTTTTGATATCTTCATCCCTATTTTGACACCCTCTGACGACCCATCGGGATTTGGTGTTGGGATGGAAAAATAGCAAATGCTTGTCATAATTTGTCCTGAAAATATGAATCTGTCAGCACGAGCAGATTTTGAGATATGATTTTTTTGATATCTTCACCCCTATTTTGACACCCTCTGACGACCCATCGGGATTTGGTGTTAGGATGGAAAAATAGCAAATGCTTGTCGTAATTCGTCCTGAAAATATGAATCTGTCAGCACGAGCAGATTTTGAGATATGATTTTTTTTGATATCTTCATCCCTATTTCGACACCCTCTGACGGCCTATCGGGATCTGATGTTAGGGTGAACAAATAGCAAATACTTGTCGTAATTTGTCCTGAAAATATGAATCTGTCAGCACGAGCAGATTTTGAAATATGATTTTTTTGATATCTTCACCCCTATTTTGACACCCTTTGATGGTCCATCTGGATTTAGTGTTAGGATGGAAGAATAGCAAATGCTTGTCATAACTTGTCCTGAAAATATGAACCAGTCAGCACGAGCAGATTTTGAGATATGTTTCTTTTTATATCTTCAACTCTATATATTTTGAAACCCTCTGACGGCCTATTGGAATCTGGTGTTAGGGTGAAAAAGAGCAAATGCTTGTCACAATTTGTCCTAAAAATATGAATTTGTCAGTACAAGCAGATTTTAGAATACATTTTCCTATTTTTCCGACGCCACTGGCCGTTTGGCAGTTTCCGGAAGTTTTGGAGCCTATCTTAAGAGGCTAATAGACCTATCTATTTTACCAGACAAAGAGGTAATAATACGAAAACTTCATTAAATAAAAAAAGACACAGAACCCTCATTACGCAAGACGAGGCAAAACGTACCAAATTATGTTAGACTTACGTATAGCGATCCGTCCTTCTTATTTGCACAGAATAAAAAGGAAAGGAGAAAAACCGCGTGTTGTGCAACGTATTTGTCAATGAAAATGTCAAACAACTTTTGAATGACACTTGTCAAGTTGAATATCAACTTTAGATTTATTCTTGTCAGACCACGTGCATTGAACAAGGATAAAGAGATGCCCAGCGTGCAAAACGATCACCTTGCGCGCGCATACCAGGTAAAAATAGATAGGTCTATTTCACACCGGTGAATTTGTTGATATATTTCGCCAAGGAACTTTCAGGAGAACGTAGTGCTTTGCCAGATAATATTCAGGCAGGTATTATTAGCAGGAATATTAGAAGAAAACTCCCACACTCCTACATATTTGCGGAAAAAATTCTATAAAATTGGAAAACGAATTTCATTTCACTGAACACGAAGAAGCAGGCACCCGAATATTTGCGATTACATATTCATTTTTACATAAAAATATTCAAAAGATTTATTATTTACTCCACAGACACGGATATTTTTACTACAGCAATGTATTATTCGGATAACATGAATTCAGGCCTCGAAATATCGATGCAAAATATAAGTTAAGTAAGTACATTCCAAGACATCCAATCGCATTCGGAATCTGGAAGACCTCTATCAAGCAAGAGATGAAAAAGTTGTCAGCATTTTATTGGTAATTAATCACCTCACTGGGTGTGATTCGGGCAGCTACCCCTTTCAAAAAGATAAAAGCTGTAAAACTAGCATTGACCAAAATCTCCCATGTAGCCTGTCTTGGGCTCTTTGGGGACTGCAGTGAGAAAGAAGAGTACGACAGTACGAAATTGAAACAAACATAGAGATTCCTACAGTACAGATGCTTTTTCAAATATTTATGTGGCCAAATATTAGGGAAAATATGAATAAACGGAGAGCACACTTATTTTCAACATTCCAACATGCAAAACCGATATAAGGCAATTTAATGAGCATAACTAAGTAGGTTTCTACTTTGAATTGAAAAATATAATAACATTTCCGTTATTTCTTGCTACAACTTTGTCGGAGGACGGAGATATCACGTGTCGTATCTCTGAAAATAAAAAAGTTTAACGCTGCGCCTTTTTTGCCCTGCAAATCCGCAAAAACTAGCGTCAAAGCATGCTTTTTGATTTTTTTTCTAATATTTGTTTTTGTTCTATGGCATTTCAATCATGACAGACATGTCCTGGAAGGTTTGGACAGTATTTGTGCAAAAAATTTGTTGAATCAAATGAAAAATAAAGAGATTATGGGGTGTTATGTGATTAATAATGATTTTCATGGAATTATCAGTTTACTGTAGAAAAATACGGTTTTGACCGATTTAGCAATCCCGGATCAACGTGCGAACTCAAAAATCAAATCCAGCATGCCATTTTACATAAAATAAGACACTTTCCAGGTGGATGTGTTCGACTTGTATAGAGGGTGTCGAATCGAGAGTGCCTGATCCCAAACTAATACATATTACGCTCTAAGATATTATCAAATTAAATAAATTTGGAAATTGAAATAATTTCTTTAAAATATTTTTTTACCCTATACATCTAGTAACAGGTGCGTCAATTTTTCTCCTTGACAGTACATCAATAAGGCGATTGACTGCAAATCATTGAAATCCATTATGGTGCTTTTGGCTTTGGTCGAAAATTAGTGGCGTGTTAATTACAATAATTTTATCCAAAAATGTTACGCCCGTGGTCACAAAAAAACTCGCCATTTTTCTGCTTTTTGCCCCTCAGACGTCGCCGGCAAAATTAAATTTGCCAGATTATACCACATTGCAGCAGAAAACTACCTACCGTATTTCGTATTAGCATAGAATGTATTAGGTACCTAGTCTAAAAATACACAAATAATAAATACTTTGAATATAAAATACCTACTGTTTTATTACTTAAGAAAAGGTAAAATCAATCTAAAATACACAATAAACTGGGAATCAATTTTCATGAACAAAGTATGTGACGTGACGGACAAGACATACAATATAAATTAACATAAAAAAAAGTTTTATCTAGCAGACCCTGTTGTCATAAGTATAATAGAATAAATTCTAACGATTCAAGTATTCAATTCACAAGAGTTATCTACTGCTTTGGAAAATATAGGTAGGTACTTATTTCTCAGCTTTTTTAGTATCTTCTTTCAAATCAGCCCAATCCGATAAATCATACTTGGATAAATCTCCATCATCATCATCATCATCCTCTTCTTCTTCTTCCCCTACTTCTTCTTCTTCTTCTCCTTGTTTTTTCCCTGAATCCTCGTCATCTTTTCTATACTCGCTTGAAGCGTAGTTGTTAGACCTCTTTTTTCTCTTTCTACCGAACTCATCAAACTCGTCATCGGAGTCCTCTCTTTCCTTATATTCAACTACTCCTCTATCATTATAACCACCTCCCAAGCCAGTCCGTTCTTCAACCTCCTGAAACTTGGGGGCATTGCAAACGTTACACTCTTGACGACGGAACCAATTCACATTTCCACATTTGTTACATTGCCAATCGTTGGCGTTAAAAAGACCCCTACTTTTTTCTGCAACGGACTTGCCGATTTCCTTGTTTCCCAGTTTACGTTTATGAGCAGTAGTGGGACCTTTACCTGTTTGGCATCTGTTACAGGCAGTTCGTCTTGCAAAGTTTACGTTGCCACATTCTTCACAGGTCCAATCGCTTGTATCAGAAGAAACCGAAAATTTGGTAGATGATGATGCTTTGTCCTCGGCCATTCGAACTGAAACAAGAGAAACTAATATGAGAATTGAATAAGCAGGAAATTTATTAGTAATAGTAATTAGTGATGTGAGTCGAGAATATTCCCATGCGAATATTCCCGAACATTGGGAAATTTCCGAGAATATTCGCCGATAAAAAATGGAAACGTTCTCCTGAATGAGAATATTCCCGGAAACTTTCAATCAAAAACTCTCAAAAGAATATTTTCGAGAACTTTCGAGCATATTTCCAAGAACTTTCCAGAAGAATTGTATAAAAATGCGAGATTATTGCGAATACAAGGTCTCAGTGACATCCAAGGGCGCCCACAGGGAGGGTCAGGGGGGGTCACTCGACCTCCCCTGGAAATTTCTTAAATTTCAATTATTTTTCCTACGACTGCCTCTGAAAATGGAGTTTTTCGCACGCTAGGCAACCTCTGAAATTAGAGTTTTTCGCACAGCGTGCGAAAAAGTTTTTCACACGCATTTTACCGTCCGAAAAAGTTTTTCACACGCTCCTCAGTGTGCGAAAAAGTTTTTCACACGCTTCAAGTTTTCTGACAAATGAAAATTACATATTTAATTGTTTTATTCTGCAGTTGTAGGAAAAGCATTGTAAAAAACTCGTTTGAAAACCTTTTTTCACACTTGCTCGACTTGTGGAACTCGCCTACGGCTCGGTCCAACAAACTGTCTCGCAAAACTTGTTGTTTAAATAACTATTCCTTGATTAAAAAATATTAAAACTTCCGATATTAGTTGAACTATGATCGCGGACCGATTTTGAAACTTTATTTTTAATAAAATAGAAAACGTGAATGTATATCAGAATAGGAAAACGGAACGCAACCACCAATGCCACCGCACTATATACGTACATACCGGGTGGGGCACAAAAAACTTTCCACCCAGGTTTTCTCAGGTGTTAGGTGTTTAATCAGAAATCGCTCAGACACGTCAATTTTGTTTTTTGGGGGACACATTTTATTGGTATTTTCACCCCCTACCTGTTATCCCCTAAGTGGGGGTAACAGGTACCCCAAAAATTTCAAATGAAAGAGGGGTCGAGTGATATGTCATTTGGTAGCTATTTGCATTGAGATTATACCCCCGTAGTTTTAAGTTGCTACTATTAACCATGCCGAAATGGCGGCATGTCAAAGTTAGGATAAATGATTTTTTTCGATAATCTAAGCTGTGCAGTTTTTACCTGTCACACCTATGCGTAGGTAACAGGTAAAAACCACACAGCATTTTTCCATTGATTTTTCCTAACTTTGACAAGCCGCCATTTCGACAGGATAAATAGTAGCAACTTGAAACTTCGGGGATATAATCATATATTATATCACAAGAGCTTTAAATTTAATCGATTAAACCATTGTAGAGATTGAGACTTTTTATACAATGATTAAACTATCCAACATATTTTGAGCATGATTTGGAAAATAGTTGAATGCGCAATAACTTAATAATATTTAAAAGTTATTGTGCATGAAACTATTTGCCAAAAAGCAAAATTATGCAAAAAATATTTGGATAGTTTAATCCATTTAAATTTATAGGTCGAGTGGTATACGGCTAGATTATTTCCTGAATAAATAGGATAGAATTGTTAGCGTCAATCCTATCCAAAGAGTTCGATTTATCATAAAATGTCAGAATATTTCTATCTAAATTCTGTCAAAAAAGGTAAACAAAAATTTAATCACTGATAAACAAGGTCTTGTGAAATAATCACTTATTTAAACAAAATTCATTCAAAAAATGACGTTGTCTGATGGGTCTATTTTATAATGAATGAAATAATCTTAATGAAAATAGCTATCAAATGACGTATCACTCGACCCCCCTTTTCATTTGAAATTTTGTGGGTACCTGTCACCCCCACTTGGGGGTTTACAGGTAGGGAGTGAAAATACCAATAAAATGTGTCCCCCAAAAAACAAAAAATGACGTGTCTGAGCGATTTTTGATTAAACACCTAACACCTGAGAAAACCTGGGTGGAAAGTTTTTCATGCCCCACCCGGTATAAAGTGACAATTTGAAAAATAGCAATCGGGAATATCTCTTAACACAAAAAATACTATAAAGATCTCAAATACGTATCGGGGGAATAGGCTCCTTGCATCAAAATTTTTTATTGCTGATTTCGATAGTCCATGAAAAATAAGTCAACACGTGTTTTTTCTTTTGCTTCTTAGTCAAAAATTGGCGGAGATACAACACTATGAAATCTGCCTATGACGTCACTTATCTAATAAATAAGAGACGTTGCACATGTTCAGTATATCTATATATATAAAACTTAATATTTGAATAACTTCCGGAATAATCATGTTTGGGCGAAATAAAAAAAAAGTAACGAATTTTTTTCGATTTCCTACAGTTTTCAATAAACAATAATCAATTTAATTTCCCATGCGAGTGCCCTATTGAGGGATTGGACGAGAAACTAAAATGACGTACCCCGCCTCACCCCTTAGGGGGTAGCTTCCATAACTTATTACTTTTTTTTCAATACTTACTTATCTTATGCTGCACATCGTTGGATAGCTCGTCGATGACTAATCGTACGATTAGTTTTTGAGATATGAATGTTTAAAAGTAAGCGCTATTAATTTTGACTATTTCTTACTAAAAAGAATTCTGTCATAAAAGTCTCAAATACACAGAGGAAACCAAATGTGTTTTTTGCCTAACCCCCGCCCCGTTTGTCTGGGGGGCTAGCCGACCGTAATAATTTTTCTACACATATTATTTTGTAGGTGCGATGATGTTCGTATGAGCGAAACGGGCATACTTGAATTCGGCCACAAACCAGGTAGCTGCAGTAATCCTACCTTTGAATTCGGCCAAATCATGAAACCCAACCTACTGCCCATAAAACTTACCTTATGATGTTGACAGATTTCGCATTGCATATGAGATTATAAATCTGAAACAGTTTAAATATGTATTTTGATGCGCAAAATAAAAAGATCTGCCAAAATGACTATGGAAAAATTCACAGGCATTTTTTGTCTTATCCAGGTCTATCGAGGCATGTGCCATGTGTCGATGAGATAATCTGAAAATTTAACTAGAACTTCGTGATTCGGCTGAATAGCTAACAACTCAGAAACAAAGAAATCGCTAACTTCTTGATTCTCCAAAAACATCATTCCGAAACAATTATGTAACGATTGACCGATTTCTGAATTATTTATTTTTTTATATTCAATATAAGCCTAAGTTTTGGATCTTCCTTCACCATGCCTGAGATTTTAGCTATTTATAAGAAGTAAATAAGTTGCGAGGGTCAACCACTTCCCGAAATACGTGTACACTTGGCCCGAATCAGGCGCGGATCCAGGGAGGGGCCATGGGGGCCATGGCCCCCCCTTAGATAAGAAAAAAAATATATATTAAAAATCAACATTAATCGACCAATTTTTCCGGGTTTACCAGGGCCCGTATATAACAGAATTTTATTTCATGGCGTCATTCTATCACGAACCTCTAGCCTATTCTATTTGTATGTACAATATACAGGGTGTCTGGTTATAATTTGACACCCCACCTGCAGCCCAGATGATAGGTGTGAACACAATAGTTGTGCAGTTTTAACTAAACTTTCAGAATCCATCGTCAAAAACAAAAAATTTTTCTAAGAAATTTGAAATTTTGCATACTTTCAACTTTTTTAAATGAAATGCCCTATATTTGCTTCTAATATATAGGGTGAGTTACTAAGCGCGCGGTGGTCCATATCCCCTATACTAACGGAGATCGAAGAAAAAACTAGATACAAAACTTGTAGATAAACATTCCTAAACTATTTTCCAGTATACAGGATGGCCCAATAACTAGTAGTGACACCAAGTTATGTTTTTTAATTCTAGACATATTCCATGTTTATTGTCATATACCTATCTTCAACTGTTTTGGAAATATTGACATTTAAAATTGACTTTTTTGCATCTTTGACAGACTGTAAAACCTGAACGGTTAATTTAACACGAAAATGGATTTTACATTCCTATCTTGGTTTTTCATAAACTATCATTTGACACCGACCTTGAATTTAATCCATGAATAAAAAAACCGCTTAAGTTATTAATCTTCGGATAAATTCAAAGTTGGTGTCAAATGATAGCTTATGAAAATCTAAGATAGGAATGTAAGATCCGTTTTCCTCTAAAATTAGTCGTTTAGGTTTCACAGTTTGTTAAAGATGCGAAAAAGTCAATTTTCAACTGTCAATATTTCCGAAACAGTTGGCGAAAGGTAAATGACATTTTACATGAAATATGTCTAAAATTTTCCGCAGGATCCAGAAATGTCATAATATTCAAGGGGAGTTATTTAAAAAAACATAATTTTGTGTCACTACTAGTTATTGGGCTACCCTGTATACTGGAAAATAATTTAGGAATGTAGTACTCATGTGTATCTACAGGTTTTGTATTTAGTGTTTTCTTCGCTCTACGTTAGTATAGGAGATATGGAGGACCGCGCGCTTAGTAACTCACCCTATACCGGGTGTTTTTCAAAACCCGCTCACCCCTATAACTTTTTTATTTTTTCAAATAAACAAATGAAATTTGGTGTGTTTATTTATGACCCGGATGTGCATTATTTGACGTATTCAATTTTTTACTATCACTTCCGGTTTCCGGTTTGACCGGAAGTGACCCTAACTTCCTTATTTAAATGAGACGCCAGGTAAATTTTTCCTCATTTCAATAGAAAACTACATTACGAGTACAATGACACTTCATTTGTCACTTTTTGACATTTTACCTCCAAATTATTTAAATTTTTACTTTTTATTCTACAGTGCCATGAATAAGTTAAAATACTTAATTTTGCTCCTAGAAACATGGGAAAATTTGTTTTGAGCTTATTTTGAATTTTATATCCTCTAAAGCAGTGGTTCCCAAACTGGGGGGCGCGCCCCCCTGGGGGGGCGTGAAGCAACATTGAGGAGGGCGTAAGTCTTCTAAAAAATTAATGAAAATTTAAGCCTTACA